AACAAAACAAAACAAAACAACACCCCCCAAAAAACCCACCAAAAACAAAACAACAACAAAAAAAACAAAAACAAACGAAACAAAGCAGGGAACGGACAAAAGCAAAACTGGGGTAATAGTACTAATAGCTCATCATTACAACATTTTATAGACCTATCCTTTTTCCTAAAAATCAGGCGTTTTTTGTTTTTGTTTTAAACCTTTCTCAACTTTTCCTGCAACCAATCCGGTTTTCAGACAAGAATGACGTATGAAGCAGGATTATGTGCGAAAAACTTGCTGTTTTTTAGTCTCCTATTGCACGACAGCTATCTGGCGCACACTTTGTTCTCAGATTACAATTTAGCACCGGACTATGTTGACAGTAATGAGTCTGGTTTCATCCTATTTTGAATATTCTTCTACAGATTATATAACTTACAGCTCTATTGCACTCTTGTGACATCCAAGCCCGCGGCCAACATTAATTTGCTGTGGTATCTTATGATCTGTTTAGTTTTCTAACCTTCTTCAGTGAAACTAGATTCTAACCCATAAAATGTACTTCAGTTAGAGGAAGAAATTGACGCGAGTCGCTGCGCTGGTCAGCAGTTTCAAACTATCTGAAGTTTTTCTTTGTGGTTCATGGTGGACGTACCTACGCGAAACTGTGGTGACCAGAAGACAGTCTGAATGATATCGGGGAAAATGCCACCTACTCCAAAGTAACTGTGACGTTTCAGATATGTTCTAATTTGAGAGTGGCTAAACACTCGCTGTTGTTTTCTTCTTTAAAAAAAAAGGAGTTTGTGGGGGATGAGGGACGGGCGATGAAGAGGGGTTTAAACATCGCTTAGTCTGTCAGTGTGCTCAGATTAATTAAGACGATCAGATGAAAGGCTCTTCCTCGAGAGAGAATGTATGGTCTTTTTTAATTATATAGTTTGATTTTATTTTAACCCCAACTTCAACACAGTGAACTTGTAGAAAGAGGCAGGATTAAACGCTGATTTAAACAATCCATTTATAATTCTACGTTATGACATTCGCAAATGGCCCTGAAAAGTCCTCTCACCTTAGTTCTTTTTTTATCCTTCCTCTTGTATCGTTAGATTTCGATGGGAGGTGCAGTTTTCTGTCAAACTTTAGGTGGCTGGCATTTGTTGTTGATAAGTTTGATATGTTATTCTTTTGGAGGGTCTATTTGATCCCACAGCAGCGCGTCCATCTTGGTAAATTTTCCCCTTTCTTTGATTTTTAGCAGAAATCTCCCTAAAGGATCTAAACTGAAACATTGCTAACTCAGGTATCCGAATTGAGCTCACCCACATTTCAGTAAAGTATTATCACGACTGAGCCTACAGTCCTCCACCCCCATCCGCCGACCCCTTTAGACTAACAGATCAGTGAAAATCGCAATGTTTCCATCAGAAATGACTGTGCTTCATCTTTCTTTCTGACGTGCACTTCCTTATTTTCCAGAATCTTTTCCTGTACCTAACTTCCCTTTTCAAACTGATGTACCCTTTCAAGTGATAGCCACATAAAGCAAACTAAGTAAAGTGAAATCGCGCAAAAATAGTTGTTTTTTTATTGAGCAATAAACAAAAATGTATCCAGAAACAAGACTGAAAGCAGGATTCCACCTAATCGACTTTTCTGGATTTCAACGAATGTGTTTTTTTGTTGTTGTTGCACAGTTTGTATTTAGCTGGCTGTCACGTGACCTCCCTCTTTAGTTACACGCTTCCTGAGGCCTACTTATAACACGTTGTCACAAAATCATAAAACTGAGTGCATACCATACTATCCCACAACAGCGCGTCGACTCCTCCTCATCCCCGGTCCTCTCGCAGTCCCAGCTCTGACGTCAAAGAGCCATTTGCAATTCACAGTTTGGGATCGCCATCAAACATTGATGGAGATCTCCGTGCGCAGTTTTCATTTTGTTAGCTATGGTACGATTCGATTGGTAGAAATGGTTGCTTTTATTTTGGGAGAGCTCCATTTGATTGCAACGCCTCATCACCCAAAGCTACCTCGCCTCTTTTTGATTATAAGTCGCGGCCAGATCTCTTCAGTGAAACACCCGCACACCTAGAGACAGGCTGTCAGTGCATTAAAAAATAGTATTTACAAATGAGAGGAAACAAAATAAAAGTATCAACATTTTAAAAGTTCAATTAGGTTATGACCAGGAGGACTATCTGGATTTAAAACAAGTATTGTAGTAGCGAAATCATCAAAGCGATGATCCACTTTTTAGAACAGAAGAATTATTAATGAAAGCTGAATGAAGTGGGTATGCAAGAATCTGAGATCTCAGAAAGACTGAAATGTGGAAGCCCTTCTGCTACCTGTTCACTGTTGTATTCGTATTCGCAAACTTTTCCAGAAGCCTTATGAATATGGTTCATGATTTGAGAGAAAGCTATTTTGATTATTTCTCCTTATAGCAGTTGCCCATGGAAAGATCATTTTTTTCCCCAGAGTTCGACACTTTATGGTATTCTGAAACATTAGTGATAAACCCTCGTATTTGTGTTACGCAGTTTGTCTTAGGCATTATAGAATACGTTGTGTTGTCTTCTGTCCTATTAATGGAGATAGAGGTTGTTTGTTTTGGGTTGTTTTGGTTTTTTATTTTGGGGGGGG